AACATCCTTGCCCGTGGCGTGCGAAACATCACGCTAAATTTAATACGGCGGAACATTCCGCATCTTCCCTTGCTATTTTGAGCTCCGTTGCCCTGCTAGCGAAAGGACTGTGACTACAGTGACCACGTGGTCATACCTAGTAGTTTCGGTAATAACTGAAGTCATTTCGGTCACAGTCACGAATAATGACTATGACGCGCCAACACTGTCTTCAGGCCCAATTTTGGGAGTGAAATAGCACCATAAGCGGCAAAAGAGCGCATTTTCGGACAAATTCTCCAACAAAATATATCTCTTTCATTTTACAAACAGTTGTGGATGGGATCGCTTCAGTAGGAAGCTTGCACGCGTCGTGAAAAGGTAGGGAGGCTGGAGGATGGCATGTGCATGCGGTGCCACAAGCGTGAGAACACCTACCGAATACAGTAGAACAATTCGAAGTCCGAACTATATCATTCAAACTCAGTTATAGATCTATTTCGCCACGCCTATAGTATAACTGCCTGTAAATGAAGTGCGTTGGTGTGACTGCTACGTGACATTTCGTTACACCGAGCGGACTCCGAAGAGCGACTCTTGTCTTCGCCACTGACTGCAAGCCAGGCGCCTGCACTCTGCTTTATAACATCCATCGTCGACATTCTGATAAGCACGATGAGTAGCTGGGTATGTCTAGCTGATATTCCGCGAGGTTGCGACTCTGACTCCCGTAGACGGAGCACCGGAATCCTGAAGGCCGCACGTACTGGTTTAACGCCGTTACTAAAGAGAGTGTATGGGAGAAGCCCGACGGTAAGAAAGCAGCGACTCATCGACCTCAAAGACTCATCTTTCAACCTGTCTCAGAACTCAAGAGCCCCTTCGAGGTGCGTCGATGGAAGCTGTATCACCACCCGCGTTATCCTGACGATCCCACCTTAGCGCGCTCTGAATCAAACAAAATGGAAAGAATACTTTTCTAGCGGTCGTAAATACTACTACAACGTGGGTGCCGTTTCCCTTGAGGATGGCCCTGCCACTTACCTATTCCGACACAGACTGAAACGAAAGAGTCAAAATGGGACATGCCGGACGAGCTGTTGCTTCTCTTGGAAAAGGTTGAAAAGGAGCCGAAGCAGCAGCAGCAATTGGTTCCTGCGTATGTGTTTCACCATGTCATTGCGAACTAAGAGAGGCTGAGGTTGTTATCAGGTCAGGAGCGGGTGCTCCCGTACAAGGTGCTCTAGTGCACAATGGAGGCTCTGATCTTTCCTTGACGGCAAATAACGTGCAGCCTCCTCTCAACGGTACCAACGGCGCTGTTGGACTTCACACCGGTCAACTACCCTTCCAGGCTCCAAGTGCCTTGCCTGCGCGGCCTAACCTCCCAGAAGACCCTGTTATCCCCCATAATGGTTTCGCGACCTACGAGGAAGGAGAGAAGGCCTTTATGCACCTTCTGAGGAAGGCTGGGGTCGATGCTAACTGGACCTGGGATCAGACTATGAGAACCATCATCACTGACCCTCTGTACAAGGCCTTGAACACCCTCGCAGAGAAGAAAGCTGCTTGGCAGAAGGTGCGCACTACTCTGATGGTATGACAGGGCTGTACTGATGTTTCAATAGTACACGGATGCTCTCAGGGCCAAGGAGCAGGAGGAACGAGAAGCCCGTCTATCCAAGCTACGCCCTGCCATCCGAAACATGCTCAAAGGCAATCCGCTTGTGTTTCATTATACGACCTTCGCTACCGCAGATAGACTCTTTGCTCAGCATCCCATCTGGCAGCAAGCGAAAATTGAAGCAGAGCGGAAGCTGATTTTCGAGGAATATGTCGCCGAATTAAAACAGCGGGAAGTGGTGCGTTCCATATTGCCACCCCGTACACTTGACCGCCCTTACATATAGTGTTTCTAGCAAGAGACAAGAGCTGCTAGAGCGCGTAGCATCTCCAAAGTCGTGAGCCTGTTCAAGCAGCTAGATGTCGACGTCCTGACCCGCTGGCGCACTGCGCATGCAATGGTGCTCGAATCAGACGAGTGGAAGAATGATCCTGAGTTGCAGAAACTGCCGACTCTCGATATCCTACTCGCGTTTGAGGACTACAGTCGTGTCAGAGAGCGAGAATTCGAGGAACAAATGCGGAGAAATCAGGTCGAGAAGACTAGGAGAGAACGCAAGGCGAGGGAGGGATTCAAGGTGCGCTTATTGCTGCTCTGTCCGTATCCTGATGACTCGAACTCCACATAGGCCTTGCTCAAGGAACTCGCGGACTCGGGGAAAATCAAGGCCAGGACGAAATGGAAGTCGATCTATCCGCTGTTCTCCAGTGACGAGAGATATCTGAACATGCTTGGCAAACCCGGCTCCAATCCTCTGGAACTCTTTTGGGACGTGGTGGACGCCTTGGACCAGAAACTGGATGCGAAGGTGCTCATTGCCGAGGGCGCCATCACCAGACACAACGCGAAGGTGTCCTCGAGCACCGAGAACCCGAACGCCGAAACAGATGACAAGAGCAAATCGTTTGTCGTAACTCCCAATGCAACTCTTGAGGAATTTGTAGCCGTCGTTAAGGGTGAGGAGGATGACGACGTCCGCAGCCTGAGTAATGAGGATCTCGAAGAGATCTTCAAAACTGTGAGTACATATGAGAGCTGGAACGCAACTGCTGACAACGTTCATAGTTACGTGACCAAGCTGTTAAGAAGCAAGAAGACGAGAGACGCCGTGCTGAAAGGAAACAACGGCACCTGCAAGATGATCTCCGCTACGCTCTTCGGAAGCTCCCTGAACCAATTGATCTCAATATGTCTTATGAGGAGGTAATGCGTTTCGCAACTTCGCATGTGGGTACCTTAAACTAATGCGCGGCTACATAGGCTGTACCTCTCATGGAGAACCTTCCCGAATATAAAGCTCTGGAGGATGAAGGTAGGAGGGCTGCGTTCGCCAAATTCATCAAGAGGCAGAAGGTGCATCAATCATCACTCGAATGTCACCAGTTGCTCATCATCTAGTAGGAACGTCTGCGTGACAAGGAGGCGTCGGAAGATGGTGGATCGACTACCAGTCGGAAGCGCAAAGAACCCTCCAGCAGGGACCACCGTGAGGAACGTGACAAGGACGAGGAGCGTGATAGGAAGAGAGAAAGGGAGCGAGAACCGCACCGCGAGCGAGAGAAGGAACACGAGCCTCGCGGTTCGAGGCACCACCACAGAGGCTACGATGATTATGAACATGGCTCCCACCGTTCATCTCGAGACTACCGCGATCGCGACCGGGAGAGGGAGAGGGACTATGGGAAGGATAAGGATAAAGACAGAGAGTATTACCGGTCTTCAAAACACTACCGGGAACAGGAGTTGGACAGGGAAAGGGATGGCAAACGGAAAGACAGGCGAGGGTCTTACAGTGGGGGAAGAGAGTGGGAGGAAGCGCCTGGTCATGCCACGGCCTACGAAGGGGGTGCGCCTCGGCCATACCGGGAACGCAGTACTTCGGTGTACCGCGAGGAACCGAAGGACAAGCGAGAGCGAAGTGTGTACGATGACAAGGACATTGGGGAGAGAGCAGAGAAGGTGCGCCGTTTGTTGCATCGAAATTTTGTGGTCGCTCATTCCGGATCCAGAGAGCAAGGCACGAGCCAGAGATTGCACCAAACGGCATAGAGCAGGCGCCGCCTCCTGCACCGCAAAGGGAAGAGACACCAGAGGAGGGTGAAATTTAAATGCAGACTCAACTGTAGCTCGAATTACATGCATGACTATCATACTTGGTCTGGTAGAGCGACGTCTATGCTCCCTATGCGGAGACGAGTGTATGGCTGTTTATGCTTTATGGTCTTGACGTAGCCCTTTCTCCGCTTCTTCTTCACGATGACCTCCATCTTGCCCTTGGTGTGTTCCACGACGGTAGCGGCGACTTTGACCGCGTCCTGGGGGATCAGGGGATCCCCGCGCAGCGTGAATTCTCGTGACCCGAACTCGTGGATTTCGGAGAGAGCAAGAACGTCGCCGACTCTGACATCGTTGAGCCGGGGAACGGTGAGCAGGTCGCGGGGCGCGAGCAGGTATTTTCTCCCGGCTAATGAGGCAATCACATATTGGTTTGGCTGCGACCGGATGAGCGCGAGCGCGGATGCCGCCGACGACGGCTGCGTGTGCAGGGCCCTCGCCGCTGCCTGGCACACACCGCGAACTAAAAGAGAGTGAGCAACAGTCATAAAAGACAGACGAATAAAACATACATTTAAGGAGATTAAACATGGACCGCTGCCATTGCATGGCGGGCTGGGAGGCGTTCGGAAGGATGCGGCATGTTTTGGGCGGAGCTGGAAATATACGAACGTTGTCACCGAAACTCTTTTTCCCGGTCGCCCGTCCATACCACCCCGTCTGTCCTCGATGCACAGAATCGCCGCCCCCCTAAGAAACTCGGCGCGCACTGCGGCGCTGGCCGCTAGCACCAAGGTGCGATATTCTGCGAAAAATCGCGACTTTCTGCCCGCTGAAATGAGCCCTGTTCGCCTAGAGCGTGCCCCGCGTTACCTCCGTCGTGTCGCGCTCCTATGCTACCGCAAAACCTGGTATGTAGCACTTGCGCGTCGTCCTCAGGTAACTTTACGGAGTCCTAACCATGCTGCTCCTATCCATGCGCTGCCCCGCGGTCCATCTCATGATGGGTACATGAAATACGTCATCAGCTGCATCGGAGGTTTCCTCTATCCTCGAGTCTCGTATCTCTGGCAGTTCTCTCGGTGGGAATGTCGAGGAGACGGGTCGCGTCCTGAGTACGTTATCGGAGTTCTGATGTAGCACCCGCCCACTCAGTATCTCCCATAGGCGTCGGTGACGGTATCGCCCGTGTCTACGGGTTGAGAAACGTCCAGGGTATGGTCCTTGCATTCCTTTCAAGGGCCACGGTCATTAAATGTTATTCTGTTGCCCCTTAGCCGAAGAGATGGTGGAATTCTCTTCCGGCGTTCGCGGCATGTGTCTGAACTTGGAAGCCGACAACGTCGGTGTCTCCATCTTCGGTAACGATCGTGCCATCAAGGAGGGTGACACTGTCAAGCGTACGGGTCAGATTGTCGACGTTCCCGTCGGCCCTGGCTTGCTTGGCCGTGTCGTTGATGCTCTGGGCAACCCCATCGACGGCAAGGGTCCCATCCAGGCCTCTGAGCGTCGCCGTGCGGCCCTCAAGGCCCCCGGTATCTTGCCTCGTCGTTCGGTCAACCAGCCGATGATGACTGGTATTAAGCCCATCGACGCCATGGTGCCCATTGGCCGTGGCCAGCGTGAGCTTATCATTGGTGACCGTCAGACCGGTAAAACTGCTGTTGCTATCGACACCATTCTGAACCAGAAGCGGTGGAACGACGGCACTGATGAGGACAAGAAGCTCGTCTGTGTCTACGTTGCTGTTGGTCAGAAGCGGTCCACCGTCGCTCAATTGGTCAAGACTCTGGAGGAGAACGACGCCATGAAGTACTCCATCATTGTCGCTGCTACTGCTTCCGAGGCTGCGCCTCTGCAGTACCTTGCTCCTTTCTCCGGATGTGCTATGGGTGAATGGTTCCGTGATAACGGCAAGCATGGTAGGTTACAAGACGTCCTTGGATTTAAGAATATGTACTCATTCCTGGCCCAGCTTTGATCGTCTACGACGACTTGTCGAAGCAGGCTGTGGCTTACCGGCAGATGTCTCTGTTGCTCCGTCGTCCTCCTGGTCGTGAGGCTTACCCTGGTGATGTGTTCTATTTGCACTCCCGTTTGCTCGAGCGTGCCGCCAAGATGAACGACAAGTTCGGTGGAGGATCCCTCACTGCTCTCCCCATCATTGAGACCCAGGGTGGTGATGTGTCTGCCTACATCCCCACGAACGTCATTTCCATCACAGACGGCCAGATCTTCTTGGAGGCTGAGCTGTTCTTCCGTGGTGTCCGTCCTGCTATCAACGTCGGTTTGTCCGTGTCTCGTGTCGGATCGGCTGCCCAGACGTAAGTGTTCGCATCGTGAATGGCGAGAGCAGTGCTCACTAGGTATTTCGATATATAGGAAGATCATGAAGAAGTTTGCCGGTTCCCTGAAGCTGTACTTGGCGCAGTACCGTGAGGTCGCTGCCTTCGCTCAGTTTGGTTCTGACCTCGACGCTTCCACTCGTTTCTTGCTGAGCCGTGGTGCTCGGCTGACTGAGCTGCTGAGTATGTGTTGACTTTCTTCGTGTTGCTAATGCTTGTGCTGACCACGATGTTTTGCAGAGCAAGGTCAGTACCAGCCTCTTCCCATGGAGGTCCAGGTCCCCATCATCTACGCCGGTGTCAACGGTCTGGTAAGTGGTACTCTGCCATCATAGCTTGTATGCCGAGATTCCATGTCTCTTCCAGCTTGACTCTATCCCCGTCGACAAGATCACACAGTGGGAAGGCGAATTCCGTTCGCACTTGACCTCGAGTCAGGGTCCTCTTCTGGAGGAGATTGCCAAGGGCAACGTCACTGGCGACATTGAGGAGAAGATCAAGAAGGTCGTCGAGGACCACGTCTCCTCTTTCAATGCATAGACTAGCGTTGTATACATGGCGGACAGATAGGGTGTGGAGGGCGGCGTAGTTGGCCCAATACAAAAACGATTCTCATCCTGCATCTCCATATGGTCGCACACTCTTAGAACTGAAGTCTCGCAATTAATGCCTTAATCGCGTAGTGTACAGAGTTGAGATTTGCAAACGTGCATGATTTGCTACAACTTTGCTATGTACATGGTCTTCCTCAAGGATTATACTCGTACGCTATTTCATCACTTCACCAGACTAACCAGCAAGAAGAAAGCAATGAGAGGGGAGTTATTCCTCAGTTTCATCGTCTTCGATGTCCCCAGGGTCCTCGTCAAAGTCCTCATCCTCGCCTTCCTCCATTGCTTCCTTGAGCTGACGAAAGGGGTTCTCAGTGAGATGGCGACGACTCAGACGGGTGAAGATCTAGACAACTCACCATCTCCAAGAGCTCATGGCACTCGTTCAAGTGTGCCATGACTATTCCTTGCCCTTCCGGTATTGAGCCGTCAGCTCCGACAAACTTGCCATCCTTACGCATCGAGTCAATCTGATGCAGTGCCAGCTGATACTGGAAAAGTGAAACAACATCAGCGGTGGACAGGGTAAGCATCGTGTGCTGTTATCTTACAGGATATAGATCGTAGGGGCTGAACGGTCCGCCATATTTCAGGACCTCATTCAGACATTTCTTCACGGTGGAAAGCTTATTCGCCTATCAAGTGGGTTATTCAGAATGCCGTCTCTGGATCTCACTCAGAAAACGATCACTCACGATAGGCATCAGTTCCTCCGAAACCGGTTCGCTAGACGATAGTAGCCGGTATATGAGGCCGTAACATCGCCTCAGGAGGTACAACAAGACCTGTGCCGCGGAGGAATCAGACTTTATATATGTACTATGAATGTACCACCCACATATTGTCCCTCGGGTCGATTCCCCTCTGAATCCACAAACTTACCGTCGACACGCATCTTGTCAATTTCTTGCAGACTGAGAGAGTAGTTCCAAAGATCGGTCTCGCGCAGGCTCCATCGATGGGTCAATACGAGGCTCTCCAGCTCCGCGCGAATCTGGGTGAGTCGGTCGTGGATAGGTCGGAGGGACGATGCTACATTCTTGGACTCTTCTTGTGCGCGGATCTCTTGCACGATGTCGAAACACTCCTCCAGTAGAGATGAACATATGGCTTGAGAAGCGGGAACAATGCCGCCCGGTCCGAGGAATTTGCCATCCACGCGTTTACTGCACGATGCAATAACATGAGTGGGGGAGAGACATAGCATTCATGGGTGAGCGTAGGACTAGGTGAAAAAAGGGAAGCTACTCAACGAATCTATTTTCCGAAGTTCCTCTTGGAGAGGTTTCAAATCTGCCTTGGAGAACGACTCCTTCGCTGCCAAAGCCACCAGCTTGCGACGGATGTCAACGAGCTTCGCATGTATAGGTAGGAGCTCGGGCGAAAGCTCGGCCAAAGACTCTTGTAAATTTCGGAGAACAGATTCTATACGAGCCAATGGCATTAAGTCCGCCGTCAGGGCAAAGCGACATGTTGACACACCACACTCGTTCAGCTGCCGCTCTAGAAGCTTGATCATAGCCTCGGGGTGTTTGCCGCTCTGAGCATCATTCTGCACGATCTGCCTGAGCTCGCCTAGCCGTCGGTGGAATGGCTTGAGGTCCGACTCATTATAGACTGCAGACTCATTCATATGATCGAGGATTTGCTATGCCGACATTTGTCAGTACTTGAACTCGGAATAAGGATGTCACAGGTGAATAGGCGGTGTACACGGGGCATCGGAGTCAGATAAGCGTTAGAGGTCGCATCGTCGTCTGAAACTTGGTAGATAAGTTCCACAGACACACACGGGAGCAGACCTCGCGCACTCGTACATAATACCAACGGAAGAACGTCGACAAGGCATGTAGAGGAATACTAACCCGCATAGAGGCAATTTGAGAATATGTGGCTGGACACTCCTTGGTCTTGCCGATGGTGAGATAGAACAAGCTGAGCAGGTTGAACACGTCGGCAAGCAAGGTGTCCAGCCTGTTGCTGTTGCTATTGTCGTCTCGGACATCGTTGAGCTTTGTCACTGCACTCCTTCATCATTAGAACCAGCACAGATATAGATCCTGTATGTAGCGGTATGCCGGTGGATGAGGATAGACTAGCGGGCACGCACCTTGCTTTACAATTTGCTGATAGAGGGCATTGACGTCGGAAGGCTTGATATACTCCCCGCGATCCTTCTTGAGAGCAGTAAGACGGTTACGGATGCTATTTCGGACGTCAGACGCGCCATGAGGAGAGACGTGCTCTGCGTACGCACTTCACGACTGCCTCGAGTATGGGAAGCTCTAGACAGCGTTCAGCAATGCCCCAGTTCGTTTCAGCAACGCATACCTTCTTGCGGGACAGGGTTTGCCATGAAGGACGGAAATGAAAGAGGCAGCAGATGTGTGGGATGGCGCCGAGGATATGACTGCTCTATTATGGCCGCGCCCGGTCACGTGTTCCCCTTCCTGTTTCACTGAGTCCGGCCACTTAACCCTGCCTCTCGACCGCCGCTCTACTCGTCTTGATTTCCTTCGACCGTCACTCATAGCCGCTCATAATGGAGAAGATCAAGGAGGTACATAGTGTCCTGCGTCTATGTGACTGATCTTGCTGATCCCTAGCTAGAAACTCAACTCCCTGCGCGCCGAGGCGGACGCAGCAGTTGCTCGTGCTGAGGAGGCGGAAGCCAAGAACAAGAAATATGAGCAAATGATTCTCGAGAGGGACCAAGAGATCACGTCTCTTCAGCACAAGCTCAGTGTCATGGATGCTGATCTCGAGAAAGCGGAGGCCAAGCTCGCCGAGGCTAAATCTGCGCAGGAGGAGGGCGAACATTCAAAGACAACGAATGAGGGTCTGCAGAGGAAGATCCAGCTCCTAGAAGAAGAGCTTGATGCGGCTGAGAAGAACGTCAAGGAGACGGTAGAGAAGTGCGTGCTTGCCACATCGACATAATTCGACTCCTTATCTTGCTTCACACAGGCTGCGGCAGGTGGATGTCAAGGCGGAGCACTTTGAACGTCAAGTGCAACGTCTTGAGCAGGAACGTGATCAATGGGAGAAGAAATACGAGGTGTGTGCTCTTCACGATTTGCTCTTTGGTCGCGCTCTGATTCATCACCACGACGTCTCCCCATTGCAGGAAGCCCAAGAGAAGTACAAGGCATCGAAGGCAGAGTTGGACGAGCTTGTGCAGAATATGGAAGGGCTCTGATCTGCCAAGGTTCCCCTGTCATCCGCCTCCATACCCGCTTGCATCGCTCTCCCGTTATAACCGTGACGTTGCCTACACGATTCTGTACGATCTATATCGCTATGGCTTGCTTCGTAATATCTCTTTCGGAATGTCATCTCCATCAATATCAAGCAGTGTAGCCGTGAACAGCAGTGCTCGTGATATGCAAAGTGAGAGGGATATGCGGAAGCCTACAACTTGCAATGCGGAGAATATATATCAAGGCCTTCCAACCCTCGATTGTGGGCCAGGTAAGATTTATGGTCAGTAGTGAATGTTGCGCTTCCGTCTTGTTCGTTGGTCTACGTGAACATGTCCCTCAGAACAGATCTATCACTCGTCCGACCCTTCAGTACCGTCGCCACCTGATTCCAAGACGTTGTCTGACACCACTAATAGGTTCGTGGTTACTGCAAGCCATGTCCCTCATAATTCTCGTATCCCGTTCATTCCATAGGACCTCAGTGTAAGTTTGACCCACCACAGGCCGCAGGCGGGGGAAGACGTTAAATATCACGTCCAATCTCCGGGCCGGTGTACCTCACGAGTGTCCAAGTATACCTCCTTGCCAAAGTTACACAAGTGGAGGGCCTGTATGTGCATCAAGCTGAATTGCTCCACCCTTTCCATCCAAGTGATATTGGGACGATGCTATGGGTTCCACTCCCAGCACTCCTGGAGAGCCACACAGATAGAAATCGGTATCTCGCCATGTTTCTCCGGGACGAAATCTTCAATGATCCCCATGATCGGGCCACATCCCGAAAATTCATGATATGTCTTAGGCCAGCGTATATCAAATTTGTCTGTCGTCAGTAACGGCGATGGTGGAACTCACCTCGTAAATGCCCAGACGTCACTCGCGCTTCAAGACTTCGAGCTAGTCCTCCCGAACTCGTAAGGGATGAGACTTTCAGGCGATCTGGGCGTGCCGCCAACAGTTGTGGAGAGGGCGATGACTACCGTGACTGTGTTCTCTAGCAGACCCAAAAGGTCCAAAGACTTGAACCACCCGCTGTCCGCCTCACGCAATTTCTATAAATCCGCTATATCTACGGCTTTACTGAGCTTCGCTTGTCAACTAGGACGTTGTCCTATGGAGATATGCCATTATCTTGGTATCTTTTATTATGAGGGCATGCGACTTAAGACTTACGCCTTTCGGGTCCCCATGGATGACGTCCTTAACATTCAGATACTCTAGTCCGGGCGCGACCTGGCTTATCTGGGCGCCGCTTTATTAATGGCCAGGATGAATGCGAAGAGTTTCAACACACCAGGCCTTCCTTGGAGGCACTCGGAGTATTTCTGACATAGTTGGTGATATTCCCGTGCGGCATCCAGTCCACGATAACTTGAATGCAAAGCTCAGTCCCGCTCCATCATGAGGACCTCTCTGAATTTGCTGATATTGACCTGGCTCAACCTAGATAAGATTATTGATCCCTTGGCGAAGGCCGACCTCGTTGGTCAGAATTGAACCATCGCCTATTATACTTTTCAGGAAGAAATCTAACCTTTTGCACAAACGCAGCGGTGTCTTTTTGATGCGGAGACTCTTGATAGCGATTTCATGAGAACCAAAAAACCCGTACCGGTCCGTGGATGGGTTCTTATGAATTGTGAGTTCCAGCAGCAAAAATTTAGTATCATCCGCCATTTGGCCCCCTTGCAGGCTAATGTGTATGGATTAAGGCAAAGTCGACTGTAGTTCAAGTTGCTGTCGACCGGATTGAACCGTACAAAGTCTACCTTTCGTCGGGTTAGGGTTACGACTTCGACAGTCATTCACGAAACGCCTAATAATTCGCATGGAATGGGGTTGTCCTCAGTAGAACAAGGATTGGCTCCTCGCAGTAGGATATTCCGGATAGCTTCAATTTTAACCTCGCCGGAGCCAAGGCTTTGGACACTCCAAACCCGTGTGCACAAAGGACAGTAAGCACCCGAAACCCCCTCGGGCGATATTATGGAATTACACTGACTGTTCCACGTCAAAAAATAAGGCTACATCGAATATAACACACACTAGGCACTAGGGAATTCCCATGCTTCATACGCGCAATCACTCTTCCTTGAAGTTCAGAGAGATCGAATTGACGCAGTGACGCTCATCAGCTGAGTACGGTACGTGAGATGGATAAATGTCCATAGAAAAGACTGACAGACAACATACTAGGCGTCGGGAACCCTTCCCCCTTGAACACGTGCCCAAGATGACCCCCACAAGCCGCACAGGTAATCTCCGTCCTCTCCATCCCAAACGACCTGTCCGTGTGGCGGTTTATCGCACCAGGTATAGCTAGCGACATCGCGTATAACATCAGGGCTCTGACATCAAAATCACAGGCAGTTTGTGCTACATACCATCGAAGAACGCGGGCCACCCGCAACCGCTGTCAAACTTGGTTGTGCTCTTGTACAGCGGTGTCCCGCACCCGGCGCAGGTGTACACGCCCTCGCCCTTGAACTTCTCATACTTGCCCGTATATGCCGGCTCCGTGCCCTTCTGGCGGAGCACTCGGAACTGCATTTATACATCGGCCATCACTGCCATTGCACTGGCACCGAGTGAACACACCTGCTCCGGTGAGAGAATGGCTCGCCACTCGCTATCTGGCTTGCCCTTGGGGAAACTAGCAGAATCCGACATGCTTCTCGAGGTTTGGTTCCCCGTCTTGAATATCTGTGTTCTTGATGGACCTCTTGCAAAAGCAGAAAAGCTGGCCGCTCTTATACTAGAACCAGTACGCTGAGGCAGTGAGTGAAGAAACAGCGGTAGCTTTGAGGAGGCTGATAGCATAAAGCCTTACAACGCTGCTCACAAACACCAGTGGCAATATCGGGGATGCATGACCTCATCTGCACGTGACTCTCGATCGCGATCGAAGGTCAAGCGATGACCCCAGCAAGACCCCAGGATCCCAGGTTGCACTCCAAAGTCAGTGAATGCAATTAGTGGATGCAAGGGTACTATCTATACGTGGTTATGCAACAATAATATAATCTGGTCGTGAGTGGTGGTGGTTGTTTTGTTGCCCTCTCCCAGGGATAGGAAGGAGCAGTCAGCAAATATGCAGGGCGATGCAGCCGCCCTGCGCGCTCATAGATACGCCCGAGCAGATCTCCGGGCCATCTGCGCAAATCCATCAGCGCCGAGCCGCATTCTCAGTGAAGGGGAATATACTCACCTCAATCACCTTCCACCCGTCCGTGAGCTCATTCCCAATCTCCTCCTCCACCCTCGTGATCACCGCAGCGTAATGACACTGTTCGACCCGGTCCTCAGCGCCCACGACGACCTCCCTCGAGAGCGCATTCCGGAAGAGCAGCACCTCCTGCGTTGCGAACGTCACTACGAACACCGGAATGTTATTTTCCAGCATTTTCGCGGACGTGATCTGGATTGTAGGGTTAGTGGTCCGAGGGGGCATACAAGGGAAAAGGAAGGACGGACGTACATCTACTTGTCGGATATCCAGCACTTTGCTGTCAGATATCAGACCTTGTTTTAGGTACTGCTCCATCGTAGCCCAGAGCACGTTATACGTCTGCCGCACTATCAGCAAACCCATAAACCCACACCCCAAAAGCAGACCTCACCGCCTCCCCGCACCACGCCCTCAGTGCCTCCCTATCCGCGCTCAAATACGCATCTACCACCTCCGGCACAATATACTCCCTCAGCTCGCGCTCGAAACCCTCCCTTGTAAACGCAGGGTCCATGACCTTCATCATCCGCATCACCTGCGCAAACTCCGTCTCGTCGAACCACCCGCGCACGGTATCCCTCACGCCGCGAATGGCCGAGAGCACGGGATTCTCGCTCTCGTTGAACACCTCGCCGAGCGCGTTTAGGCGCTGGAAGAGCGGGTTCGTCTCCTTCAGGCGCGCCCAGGTGCTCTCGCGGTTCGCGGACGCGTGCAGCACGACGGACGCCCCTGCCCTGCGCGGGCGTCAGACACAGCGTGAGCAGGAGAGACGGAAGACGCACTCGGGGTCGGCCTGCACCCGCTTCCCCATCCGCCCCTCCTTGCCGGCCTTGGCGAGGCGCGCCTGCCTCCGCCGCCGCCGCGCCTCCTTCTCCTCGAACCCCGCGTGCTTCGCGCTGAAACTGTCATCCAGCGCGTCTGTGAGCGTCTCCGCGAGCGTCTTGTACGCGGCCGTCTTGCGGATGGGCTCCGTCGCGGATGCGACCGAGTCCGACACTGCCGAGGACGCACGGGAGATCTGAGTTTGACAGAAGATCGGGTCACACTAGCTGGACAGCCGAGGATCAGAGGCGTAACTCACTGCACGCATAATCTCGCTCTCCTCCATCGTCTTTAGCGCCTCCGAGACCGCGTCGCCGACCTTTACGCCCGCCTTTCTCAGCTCCTCTGCAGCTGCGCGCAGCCGGGGGTTCTCTTTGATACTCGACGTCAACTACCCCACCCGCGTCAGCATTCCACCCCGCACACGAAAGACCCATGGACATACCCGTGCACGCTCGTAGGCCGCCCTCGCCTTGCGCATGGCCTCGGCGTCCTGGAACTTGTCCACCTCGCCCTGGAGCTGCTTCACATTCTCCTGAAGCTCCCTGTTCTTTCGCAGCTCGTCCTTGAGCACATCCACGAACGTCTGGAAGGGGGACTTGGGCAGCTCGTCCTGCCGGCGGGCAGACGAGTGGAAGAGGACCTGGGGTCGGTTGAAGCGCGCGGACGAGACGCGCAGAGGGCGGGAGTGGGCGCGCGCAGAGAGGAGAGAGCGTCTGAGCTGCTGCGAGAGCATTTTGACGGTGGCGAGGAGGGCTGCGTCACAGCCGGGTTCGAAAATGTTCGGACGAATGTGTGATCGACAGCACGTCGGCACTTCCCGGGGTTACGCTCCGGGTTCTGTTCTACAACCATAATCTCAAAGAATCGACTGTTCACTGTCAGTGGCAAACACAGTATATTCGAATCTAAATGCAATTACTGATGCGGGAGTTAGACCTCAGACGTGCCACAATCCCTGCACAATCTCCCGCGTTGCACCCAAAGGTTCAAACTCCCTCAGGATGTAATTATCTGTGCTCCGTAGTCGTCTATACCACCCACAAACACGTCTAACAAAGGATTACAAAACTAACCGAATATAATATAAACGCGCCCTCATGCCCTCCTCTCCTCACGCTGCCGCTCCCTCTTCCACACCCCCTCCGTCAGGTCACCTATCCGCATCCTAATGCCCGACCAGTTATCCAGCGCAGGTCGAACATCCAAACTGAACACAGGCGACCCGTCGGGCTCGGGCGGGGCAGAGTAGTAGTCGATCACGTAGCGGACGGACTCGTTGGTGCGGGGGCGGTGGATGAGCCAGTCATGTCGGTCAAAGGGTGGTTCGGAGCTGCAGGGAATGAGAGAGATGATATTCGATATGTATGGGGAGTGCGTACCTGAAACGGGTGGGTAGGAGCCAGCCCGCAAACTGCATTAACCTCGCCTTGGGGGAGAGCGTACCCGGCTTGCCCATGAACCGCGCAAGCTGCACGTTGTCGTCGCTACTCATAGCATCATCCAATGTTAGCGTTGACGAAAAAAACAACCAGACCGAAACTCACCCGTGATACTCCCTCTCCCACCTCAAGACCTCATCCCACGCCCTCTCGTTGAGAAAGTTATGTATCTGGACCATCGTCTCAACGTGCTCCTCGGGCGTCTCCCAGCCCTTGCGGACGAGGGCGTTGTAGAACTGCTGCGGGCTGGGGTACTCCCACTTGGCGTTCTGGTCGTCGGCCTTTGGTATGGAAGAGAGCGTGCGATCGGTGGGGAGGGCGACGGACTGGTTGGGCGCGGGCGCTTGGGAGAGGACGGGCATCTGGTTCAGCGGAGACAGAGAGTCATGGGAGACGGGGCAGGCGGCGGGTGCGGCGGACGAGGACGAGGAAGCAAGAGCTTTGTGGTCAACGGGGCATTTGGCGGGGGCGTCGGGGGCGGGAGCTTTCTGATGCATGGGGCAGCCCGAGGGCACCGCGGACGACGAGGCGAGGGGCTGCGACGCTGTCTGGCCCATTGTGCGATGTTGTGGCAGACCACAAAACACTGCAGGGATGTCTCTCCGGAGGGCCCCGTCGATCACGTGTCGCCGGTGGCAGCCAATCAACGTCGTCGCTTCTTGGATGACCCTCAACATGTATGTTTGATTCCACAAGAATCCTCCGACGTTGACGCTCTTTCTTTGGCCAACCGCGTACAGTTGTGCACCCTCTTTCAGATACCCCGTACTCTGCTCATCGCTCCATACAGCAACATCTTTCTAGATGACAGAGAGCTCAGAATTTACGAATGGGCTCCCGTGGCCAGTCAGACAACTCCTGGACCCACAGCAAGCGCGCCTCCCCGCGTGGATGAAAAACGAGGTACGCGCAGCTTCATGCTTCTGGTGCGCAATAACGAGACCCTTCAGGACCTGTCCTCCTACTACACCGACACGCGAGAATTTTACTTGGCTCGCGTCGTGTCCGCCGATGCTGCCACATTCGCGCCAGACGATCGATTTAGTCTCGAGGAGGAGACGCTGTTGCGAGAATTGTTTGCACTTGTCTTACGACAGGCTATGGTGATACAAGGGTACAATGGAGAGTACTGCAATCACAAGATCATGTATCCGGAGGTTCTTGTGATGTTGTCTATCATTTTATGCAAATGTTTTCCACTCGAAACACATGAACATCAGTGAGTGCTTTCTAGGTCATCCACGTCACTTATCCCGAGTCTTATCCCTGTAGTGCTTCCGTCATGTTTGCGGTCTCAAGGGCGCCTGTAGGTGGTCCCGGTGAATGCCCTCCCGTCATTCTGCTAGAAGGGTGGAACTGGTTGTCAGTCGCATAGGCGTTGTGGACCAGCGTGACTCTACCCGTCTTGGGCCCGATGATCATGATGCACCTGACGATTTGGCTGATGCGGAAGAATCGGGTCAGGACTCTGACGTGGTGAGCACATATGCTTCATGTGATAGCTATACGGGCACTGATGCTAAAGGCAGGAAGACGAGGAGGTCAGCTGTATAACTGGCATCACGCATTATCGTGGTCTGCAACAGCTGCTTTACTTGAAAAGTCCGGATCCGCAGGGCCCCACCGATGCTTGTGTGGCCCATTCCTCCAACATACGCCTGTTGTTAACGAGCGCTCTGTACCACCGCCTCTCCGTTGGCACATGTGGGCCATTAATTGGACTAGCCTATGAAAAGAAAAGTCCGGTTGTTCACATATATATTGCTTGGCTGAAAGAAGCAGTGGAAGAAGGCAATGATCTGGTGAGATAGATGCAGTAGTAGACATCTGACAGTCTTTCTCACGATACACAGCCAGATATCCATATCCGCCCTCCAACACCATTCAACCTCAGTGACCCGCTAAGTGCTCTGACGCTAGCCTTGCTGTTGTATCGTTCTGCTTCTCTTTCCGAACGGTCTTCTGCAGATAAGGTTTTACCGTGGCGAGCAGACTTCTGCCCTCGTGGTATTCTCGATGACCCGCAACTCTCCCACACTGATTATTCTAGCCGTGAGGCGATAACGCTCTGGGCTGAAGCGGTATTTGAAGCAACGGTTCCCCAGTGAGTCTTGTGTTGCGGTAGTAACCTCCTGTCGTTCCCTTCTAACACCCATCGGGGTGTGGAAATGGTGCCCAAGTCAAAGCAGAAATCTATGCAGTGAGGTCTTTCCTCTTCATATCATGATCTGCTTCATCTGATACAATCATAAAGGCTGCGCGTGCCCACAAGCAACAAAGGCGGCCAGAGAGATGCACCTGAAAGAGCACAAGGAGCGGGAAAGGCTGCTCAGGAGTCTGACTCCCAATCGACGTCAACCTCAACGGCGCGGTCCAGCCAGTCCGCTGCGAAGGGACTGCCCAAAGCAAATACACAGTAAGCTGGCCGTGACTGCTGACTCAACAATGCTGAATATTGTTGCAGGCCTTCACGAAAGCGTACTCAGTCTGAAAGCAGTACTTCTGCGACTGGATCGGTTAAATCATGAGTGTCTCGCGGGCAAGCTGATTCATGCAATTAAATACCCCTTTCACGGCGGATCTCAGCTTCCTCAGCGCCTCAGTGTTAGTCCAGCTCTACTTCCGTCCAATTGCAGTACGTGACCATTGATTGTGATGTTTCATAGATTTGTGAAAGGGTAATCTGCCCCACCCACGCACCCAACGATATTTCGTAGTGTGAAAGGTTGTATTCTGTGATGCGCTCGAAGGATTTGCCGGCTTGTGCACCATTCCAAAGGAATCCATTTACAGTATAGCACCAGTATGGTTCACGGGCCCTGAGCCAGTGTGTACCCTGCATATCGACTGTCGCACTTCGGCTCACAGATGATTTTCCAGACTATAAGGCGCCATATATGTACTGAGCAAGAACAGCTTCTTGCCGAACTTCTTGATGGCTACGCATGGTATTCCAGTTGTTTCATTGGCTACATGACCCCCGGTGTTGAAAGTATTATCCAACGATCACTGCATGGGGTCTTCCAGGTGGTGCAAGCTGTTCATTTGATTGGCCCTGTCAATGCCAACGAGGATAAGGCTGAAGATGAGAAGCTCACCCTGGTGCAGAATGAAGCCACATATCGCTTTCACTGGGACCAATTAATTCAGACAATTGTGGAGCGTGCCGCGATGGACTGTGTGGGATACTCGTATGTTCTACCTTATGTAATGAATTCTGAGCTCAACAATGTGCACAGAAAGGAAACTAAATTGAAGTATTCGGAGTATTCGGCTCCCCAGAGTTACCCTGTCCCTGGTGGTGTACACTGAAGTGATGTTTATGACCTCTATCATGCTTTGATGCCTCCGGCGGAAGCAGGATATGATGGGTATTTGGCCTACAAATGGCACAATGATGTTATGTCAGACCGTTCTGAAATGGAGCCAGCTGCAGCGCAGGAGGAGCCGCGCTCGGGTACTGCAGACGGCATCCTCTATCTAACCATTGATGATATCTTCCCTGCCAAGGATGTCGCAGATGCCGTGTCCATTTGGACTCCATCCATTGCTCCCGACTCGTCCAAAGATGACGATGATGTTGCAGATACCTGGTCAAATGAGACTGAAGAGCAGCCCGGGAGAACCAGCTACGGTGGCAGTGTCTTCAACAGCGGTCCACGTCGCCCTATCAATCCCAGTACTCGGGCTGAGTACGAGCCATCGACGGGGATCAAACCCTTGGCAGATCGTCCGCCTCCAACTGCAGCCTCAGGCTCTCGCACTTCCTCTGGTGCACCGTCTCAAGGCGATGCCAGTGGCACGCAAGATAGTCGAGCGAAACGGGAAAGTTCCCGCATGCGGAAGGCAATTTTCACGCGTGCCCTGTACCTTCCTCTGCTCGTCTGAGAGTTCAAGAGACTCGTGAAGGGATGGACAGAGGAAGCTGCAACTGATCAAGAGCGTCTCTCACTGGTGGCAATATGTACCTTCATGCGGTTGTTGAATATTGGCTGATTTCCTGTCTTTGGCTTGGTCACCAGTGGCTCAATTGGAGTATTATCATCTGCCTGGAATGAGGTAAAGACGACACATGTCCCATTTGGAGGTGGGCGAACAACTACTCACCATGTGAGTTCCTGTTTGTTCATCAGTGACCTCAGTGACCATGGCTTCACTGATAACCTTGAATGTTGGTTTATAGGTTATCTGTATTGCAGACGAATAGGCGACGAAGGTTGATCTCCGGAATCCTTTGGATGCCCTCAACGTCACTACCTTTGTGGCATATGTGATGGCAGAGCATGCTCAACGCCTGCGCGATCTCTTTAAATCACTGGATTCTGCCAACCAGGATTACCTGTTGGACAAGGATCTCACACCACTCACGAAGGCTCGTTCACTGACTGTTGATGATGGTTATTGGCACAAGCCGCAATCTCCCAAGCAGGCCAAAGCAAGAGCAGCACCCCTGCTTGCAGCTGTCACCGAGCAATCCGAGCCTGAGAACAGTGATTCAAATTGATGGGCGGCTGCAGCACTGCATTCAGGAAGAAATGGGACGGGACAGAATGGTGCTCATCGTCATGATACATGAAAGGTTTTTCCGTTGTAGTAGCAATCATGCATTCACGTACTCATACATCAATGAATACTGTGCACAAATTCAGCCTCCTCATCCCATCTGGAACTTGTGTCGTCTTCATGTGTTTCGTCACTACAAAATCGAGATACCCATTAGTGCTATCGTATGCGAAGTGAAATCTCTCAAAGAAGGCATGCTGTTGGCGAAGTGGAAATACGCCAGATGAGTCTCCCAGGTCCAAGGTACAGGCTGTTGTCTGACTCGGAGCTGCCGGTCACGTCGGTGAGCACCGTCGGCCACAGGCGTCGGGGATGAGCCCGTATGTGACCTTTCAAATAGCGCACGTTAGCGGTTGCGAAAAGCACATAGAAAATCCTTGCCTTTCCGAGCAGAAGAGCATATACTCTGAGTTCCTATCGCCACACTTGAATCATGAATATCCCGATGTTTCCGCAGGCACCTGAGAGCGTTGGAAGAATCACGCCTGCCATGACCAGAGCGTGAACACCGCCCGTCTGTCATCAATTCATCGTGCACTCCGGTAGATCGGTACCTGGTATTATTAGTATGTTCAATCAAACAACGCGTTCATCCTGGCGAGCTCGTGTCGTGGATACTGCCCGGAGTCGGAGCAGCCTGAGACTCGAGCGGTGAGCGCGCAAGCAAAGGGCGATAAGACAACGTACTTTTTACATACGCCGGCCCGTGCTCTGCCTTCCCAGTGGCAGGCAGACTGGGAACTCGGACATGCAGGTGACACCGGACGGACAGAGGGGCTTGCTCATCGAGTGTCCTTCAAGCGGCCAAAGCAGACCCTGGCAAGTGCGCAGTGACCGAACTGCATCGGATACAAGGCCGGGCAAAGAGTAGCGGTATGGAATATCGCATTTCCACGGACACAATCCGCAGAAAGGATGCCCCGCGCACCCTGAACGTGTATCAGAGGGCAGTACTAGTCTGACAGCGGCGTCAGTACCCATCCTCCAGCTCTATTCGTCAAGGTCTAAACTCACCAGTACCGGTGGGCGAAATTGATAAGTGCACGTACTGTGGCTGGAAGGAAAGTCAGAGATGTCCCTATCGGCCGACGCGAAGGTTGCCACATCACCTGCATCCATAGTCCAGATAGGCCTGCAGGTCAACTGTCCCCGCCGAGGGTGGGACGGTGGGTTCGTTCCTGGCCAGATCAGCTCGAGCTAAGATATGAATGAAAGACCGGCCTCACGGGACGACTTGAGCATGCATGCTCAGTCTAACCTTCTGGAGCATCATCGGAAAAGCTGCAGGCCTACACGGACGTTGACGTAAGCCAAGCTGATCACGGTTCCGAACCTGAAGGGAGCGTACTGTAGTGGAGGAATCCACCCATCATCGTAGCCTTTCGCTGAAACACAGTCCAAGCTCATGTTCACACTGACAAGTAGTGATACAAACAAAACATTGACATTGCATCCAACATGACATTGCATTGCAAAGAAGCAGGGGAATCATGCAAAGGCGGGGGAATAGTTATACATATTACTCGTAATCGTATGTGATGATAATCGGCGCACAGGTGCATCGTGAAGGTCCATCAATCAACGCACACCACTCTCGCCTCACCAACCCGAGAGGGGGAAAAACAAAAAGGACTACTTTTACACCTTGTCGTCCGAGTGCTCGTACACGGCGCCGTGCTTCTCACCCTGGAGGTCCAAGGCGTGCACGTCCTCCGCGACGAGCTGCTTGCGGTACTGTACCGAGCGGCGCGGCGTCGTGTTCTGGTAGAGGATGTCGACCTGCTCGAGCGAGAGGCCCTTCATCTCGGGGATGAAGAAGTACGTGAACAGGATACAGCACGCGCAGGTCGAGCCCCATACGAAGAACACCTTTACACTGAGGTCCGCGTTGCCCGGGCCAGAGTTGACCATGTAGGGTGCTAAAGAACGAGCCGATTAGCCTCGAGAGAATGCAGGATGTAGCGGATGATACTCACTGGCATAGCTGATACCAAAGTTCCACAACCAGGTGGAGGCGGTGGCGAGGGACATGGCCTTGGCACGGACGGCGAGTGGGTAAATCTCACCAACGACGACCCAAGCAATGGGACCCCAGGTGGAGGCGAAGAACGCAATGTAGATGCACACAAACGCGATGAGCACCTTTTGGCCCGCAGTGTTATCGACCGAAACAGTGACACCGACGATGGCGACGAGGAACTCGCAGATGGTCATACCGATGGCGCCGATCAGGAGCAAGCGGCGGCGACCAAAGCGCTCGACACCCCACATGCCGGAGAGGGTCATGCCTACGTTGATGACGTTGGTGGCGACGTTGATCAGGAAGGCGTCCGAGATGCCAGAGTTCTGGAAGAAGGTCGTGCCGTAGTAGAAGATGAAGTTGATACCGGTGAGCTGCTGCCACGCCTGGAGGATGATACCGGTCCAGGTGCAGAGAGTGATCTTGTTGGGACCGCTGCGGAAGCAGTTGGCGTACGAGTGCTCGCCAATCTGCTCCTCGGCCTTGAGGTTAGCGCGGATATCGGCCAGCTCAGTCTCGACCTCGGGATTGTGGGCGTTGAGGGAAGTAAGACGAGAGAGGGCCTTGGCAGCGTCGGCATCGCGGCCATGCTTGATGAGCCAACGGGGAGACTAACGGTAACACATCAGACTTTTGTTGTCAGAAAAAACGAGGGAGGGGAGAAAATGCACCTCGGGAAAGAACATCATACCGAGGGAGAGGACGGCAGCCCAGATGAACTGCATGGCAATGGGGATACGCCATGCAGAGTGGTTGGGGCAGTGCTGGGTGGTGTTGTTGACAATGGCAGCGAGGAGGAGACCGATGGTGATGGCCCACTGGTAGGCGGAGATGACGGCACCACGGATCCACTTGGGGGCGCACTCGGACTGGTACATGGGGATGAGGGTGGAGATGATACCGACGCCGAGACCGGCAAAGACACGGCCGACGACGAAGAGGGCAATGGCGGTGGAGCCGGTTTGCATTGCTACACCGGCGGAGAAGACCAGGCAGGCGAGGACGATACCCCACTTGCGACCGATGTAGTCGGCGATGGGGGCACCGAGGAGGGCACCTGGAAGGGGAAAAAGTGAGTGGTGAAAGAAGAGTGGACGGGGGTTCAGAAGCTTACCGAAGAAGGTACCAGCGGATAAGATGGAAACGACGAGGGACTCGGTGGAGGAGGAGATGCCGTAGTCAGCGCCGGAGGTGTTTGCACAAGCGCCAGCGAATCTCGAGGGGTCGTGTTTACCAAAGGTCTCGAGCCAATCGCACATGACCTTGATACCTGAGATGACACCGGTATCGTAACCGTAGAGAATACCACCAAAGGCGGCAAAGGATGTCTGGGGGAAAACGGTGAGAGGTGTTTGACGTGATGAAGGAGGAGACGAACCATTAGAATGCCCGCAAACTTGTTCTTGGGTGCATTGGCGCCGATCCCCGGGCCTGAAGCGACTGGACCACCGGGCATTGTTAGGAAATATTCGCATGAGGGATGCGGGCGACGGTGGAGGCGACCTGAGAGGAGGGCGAACGACAAGAGGGCAGCGACCGACGCGGCGGCTTTTATGGCAGGCGACAGGGCACCCTTGGCTTGACGCATCCATGTGCAACACCTGTGACACGCATGATGCCCTGTCACCGCACGATCACTGATGGACGATCGAGATCCAGGAACATTCCATGCACCCGGGCTCGACTTGCCCGGTGCGTGCTATTCGTGATGCCCCGCAACTCTCTGGGGAATCTGCTTCGAAGATGGCCGTGCATGGAAAACAGGGAGAATATGAAGGGGGGTCGATGCTCAAAGTGCCCCGGGGACGTCCGGGCACGCTGCCACCCGTTGCTGTGTCGCGCAAATGCTTTCGGCCCCGAACACCCTCGTCGACGTTGCGCATGTTCCGCGCCTCAAAGATTTCGCCCCGCTGCTGAAACGCCCGGATCTTTGGTCCTCCATTGTGATCTCGGATGCTCGGGTGCTTTCCCCAGGCCTCCGCATGTCCATGCCGCGCGCTATTCTGGGGCCCCCTTCACCTTTGCCATCGTCATACTCGACGAACACGCCCTTTGACGAGCACAGCACAGGCATCATCGTCCTTCTGCGTGATACCATCGCCCGCCCGCCGTCGCCATTTGCGAGCGCAGTGCGAAGCGCACGCGGCACACCAATCACGAGCCTGCGGGGCCCCCGCGTGCCTGGCCAGATTCTCAGACCTTCCATCCTCGCCACCCCCGCTCTGTGCCTCAGCCGCCCGCCCTCGCATTTTCTGGCAAATGTCCGCCGTGTCGATCTTACAGGTAACGATGCCCCATCTCTGTCAGACGTTCTACAACTCCCCACGGGGAGGGGGGCCTGTCAGTCTGGAACACTGCGATCATCCCGCACCGTCCAGCCTCAGGCTCCTGCAAATTTTCCTCCCATTCATCGTCCGATACAGCCGCACAGTACATCGTTCCTGAATGTACATTACTTCAGCCTTGGGTGATGCTGGGAACGCCCACTGCACTGAGTATATTCCCACCCAATCGCGCCCCATCGCCACCTTATGGAAACCCAATACTCCCCTGTAGCCCAAACCCAAAACGTAGCGTCGATGGTGATCTTCGCACCTTGGATTTGACAGCTTCGGACCCGCTGGGGTCGAAGGACAGCCGTCTGCACTGGACAAAGTCCCCCTCCTCTTGATCTGAGGCTCGAGGCCTGGAGCTTAGAATCCATGTTCCGGCTTCGACATAGTACTCGTTCGAGCGCAACGGAAGGAGGACGAGACGCGGTCTGAAGAGGATAATTAAAGTGAGGAACGAGGAGGACGAACGGCTCGCGCTATATATACCGCTCTTCCTCTTTCTCCTATCTGATCGGAGACAGCACAAAGCCACGCTCTGTGATGCAACTTAGAGAAGCCCCCGCTGGTTCTGAAGCAGCATCGAGCACAACACGCTCCCCAGTTGAAACCTTGCACTCGTCTCAGAGAACCCAGTCAGCTGACGCGTCGCCCAGATCCAGTCAACAAGATCACAGAATATACCTCCGCCCCGTCTCCGTCTCCGTCCCGGTCAGTGCATTCTGAACGCGTTATCACATTCTGCCACCGCTGCCACACCCGGCCCGCGCTTCGCGCCTCGTGATTGAAGCCCCGCGACACACGCTGGACACCATCATCGGCCCAGCGAATATGCGAGGAATTGTCGGTGGAATTGGAACGCACACTCTCCGGGTCGTCTTGTCCCTGCCCCCGCATTCCTTGAATCCATGCCCTGCCTTGAGAAGGCGGTCTTCGACTTCCCGATGTGTGGCTATAATTAGATAGGGCTTGGAGGGGAGAACTAGACCGGCGGCAGTGAGGCCTAGTGAGGACTTATACGCCTGATGGCTGTTGCCACAGAAAAGAGCAGACACATTGTCAGGACAAGCACAGATCCTCTCGAGTAGGAATTGAATCCGAGCTGCGTGTTAGGAAGCGATGTCCTAACTAGTCGTCTTGAGATAACTGGGCCACGTGCCAACAGTTATGTCGTCACTACCTCAGTAAGCGTACTGAAAGGTAGGTCTGGCCGGGCCAATGCCAACGGTCAAGTCAAGAGTCCAGGTAATCGCTGTATTCAACAGGAGGTTGAACTAAGGAATACATGGGTTTTCCTACGGTATATATAGTAACTGGTATAGGGGTTGATACCCAAAGAAGAGAACAATGAGAAAGGACGCGTAAGCTATCCTGTGAGAACGTAACTCAGAGAAATGAGAAATACAAGGGCGCCCATTGGTAGAAGGTGAGTCAAGGGAGATAACGTGTGGGAAGAACGTAGCGTCCATGGGAAGTTCTACTCAGAGAAAGGTACTGTCCGATAGCAATGCTCAGAATGGAAATGGAATGAAATAAGCATGGGAAAATCATAACACTGTGGCTCTACTTGAGGGCTCGAGGGTATGATAGAACATGTCATGTCAGTCAGCGATCACACGCGCACTCAGTGGACAACTTATCACTTACGACATACCCGCTGATGCTTGAGTACCGTCCATCTATCGAGAACTTGTTTCTCTCCTAAATGCCTGTGTCATGAGTCCGTGTTTATCGAACGTGGATGAGAGGTTCCGTCTTACAAGCCTGCAAAATTGACCAGCGAATAACCCATCATCTGCAAATGGGAGGCAGATTATGAAGTTCTGGAGCATATCAGCGCAACATGTGATGAGATATGCAGGACGCACTCACGCTTTCCCAGAGCAGAGCTCAGCTTTCTGCTACGGGTGGCCGAGGGTACGTCATAAGGGTCTGATATGCTGCCTGGGATGCGCAGGTCGACAAAGTATGAGAGGAATGGTGTTATAACAAAGACCTGTGGGCCCCGTTAATGGAGCTGGTCGCGGCCGAACCATGTCAGCTGAATCTGGCGTTCAGGGTGCTGTGGAAGAGCGGGAATAGGCCGTATGAATGGATGAACTGAGGTTGGAGTGCAGGAACGTAGGACGTCCCTTCGTATGAGCGATGTGGCAGTTAAGATAGGTACAACCTGGCTCAAGTCCCGTCACCAACATTCTCTGGAAATGGAAGATTCAACATCAAGTACCGGTCCGAGTCGGGACATGCCAGTGCTTTGACATCTGTAAATCACCCGCTTGGTTAGACACTGTAAACGACAGCCATTCCACGTACTATGACAAACCTCCTCGAACGGAGCCTGTTACTGACGTAGGTTTAACAATCTGCGTCTGTTGCAATCTGCAATCTAGCAATAACTAGTAAATCTCAAGCCAAACAGACGGAGGACACACAATGGGCTGCGATTGAGGATTGCCAGTGTCCTGAGTGCAGCGCAAGACATAGTTTGGTCCCCGGGCCGCCGCTGTGTGGCTGCGAAGATCACTATTCTTGAAGGCCAGGTGGCTTCCCGTAAATTTACATCCATGTCAACGTCGTCGACAGATTCAACTTAACGGACCTTTCAGCGATGCCGACACCCGATTGATGTATTTCGGGATTGAGGCCGCGGCCATTTTCAGATTCAAGTTGCACGTTGTTGTGACCTGGTCGAACTGTCGACGTCATCACATGCTTGTTGAACTGGGCACTGACTTAGCTGCCAGGTTCTACAACGTACCAGAACGTACCGGAACCCTCTGGAATATTCTGGTATATTCCACTATTGTACAAGGCATGGAGCTCATGTGGGTCAGTGACATCATAGGTGGAGCTCAGTAGGATTATAGATATTCCACGTAGCTTAGTCAGCCTATGGGCCACAGTGTATATAAACCCTGCAGCTCTGCTGCCTAATGACAAGGGGTTGTTCATACAAGCTTTACCAGTAGCTACAGCATCCACTCAATACAGGTGAGTTGTGTAGGGCGCACTGTGTGTGCTGCTGCCTCCATAACTCTTCATCAATGCTAGACTTGTAAATGATGTCTCCTCAATAGCCAGTAAATAGGCGAGCAATCCTGTCTATAGGGTACTGTTGCCGAGCAGGACCAGGTCAACTTTGAGCGTCACGAGTTCGGATTGTGGCGTTGGGGTCTCTGTGGCGTGGATCTGTGACCTGTAGGCACATTTCCAGTAGCTAGACATCTACCATATATAGTGTGACTACTGCCATACTTGGGTGGTACTTAAGTCAACTTCGAGGCCCAAGAGGGAAGCATTGTTCATTCAAGCCATATTGAAGCTTCAACTAAGTAGCAGCTTCAATGGTGATATGTTCAATGTTTCTCTACATTGATGATACAAGTTGCCAGGAGATGAGACTGGTCACACTCAGATTTAGTAGTAGCCTAGGACATGTACTTAATTCACTGGCCGGCTTCTGATACCAACATATAGTCCACTGTTGTTAGCTATCCAACCTACTATAAAGTGCAATACATTGCTTCAAATAGCACTTTCCTCCACTGGAATTCTTGTTGGAGCCTTTGAGGCACAGAGTACTTCACCAATGTACCTTGTTACCTTCCGACTCGGGATGCATGTTAGAGAGTCACATCAATCCTGAAACACCACCACTCCTACAATTCCATGCCGAGTGTATACAAGCTATGAACCGGACTTCATGGTATTTCTAGATCTTCAACAACGAAGCAGAGTTGTCACTTATACCATAGGCAGACCTTGGTAATATATAGTATTGCATAATTCATACAGAGAAGGGTGCTAATTACACATATACTGTACCAGACTATGTATATAGGCTCTCTCCATACTCTCAGACCTAATAGAAGTGTACTTAGAGAGCACATAGAAGTCAACAAGCATTAGCACAGGAGGAACTCGATATTTAGAGGTGGATGTCACTCTTTTCCATCACGCGGTGCCAGGACCCCGAGTGCAAGCCCGCATTGCTGTGCTCGATTTCCTAAAGTCGACCTGGTCCTGCTCGGCAACGGTAATAGGG